CGAGAAAATTCAGGTTATAAGGAAAAGGTTAAAAACTGCTCAGAGTCGTCAAAAGAGTTATGCTGACAATAGAAGACGAGATATTGAGTTTAAAATCGAAGATTTTGTGTTCTTAAAGGTCTCCCCTTCCAAAGGCATTATAAGGTTTGGGAAGAAAGGAAAGTTAAGCCCAAGATTTATTGGACCTTTTGAGGTCCTTGAGAGGGTTGGTTTTGTCGCTTACAGGATTGTCTTGCCACCATCGTTGTGCCATATACATAATATATTTCATGTTTCAATGATTAGAAAGTATATACCTGAACCTTCTCATATCATTAAGTATGAGCTGATGGAGATCGATAAAGATTTATCTTATGTGAAAGAGCCCACTCAGATTATTGATAAGAAAGAAAAGATCCTAAGGAATCGGATCATCCCTGGTTCAAGTAATTTGGAGACATCATTCCGGAGAGAAAACAACCTGGGAGTTATAGGAGGAAATAAAAAAAGTTTATCCTCGACTTTTCATCGATAGAGGTATGATAAATTTAGAGGACTAAATTTTTCTTTTAAGGGGGGGGAGAGTATAACATTCCTCATTTCAAAATTTTCGTATAAGTTTCTAACTGTAATGTAAGTATCTATTTTAAATTCGATAAAAGAGCCAAAGTATAAATTTGAGAACTTATTCATAAGATTTAAGGATATGTTCAAAAAAAAAAAACCTGAGGACCTATATGTAAACCCTGAGGACCTAATCGTAAATATAATAATACAAGGACTAATTTATAAAATGCACAAAATTACAAAACCCACCGCTTAAGCCTCTCTACCTTCGTTCTCAAGAAACCTGAGAAGGCAGCTGCGTGGAAGAAGAGAAGAAGAGAGAAAGAAGAAGAAAAAAAGGGGGGGGCGGGGGGGGGAGGAAGAAGAAGAGAAATTTGGGGCTTTGAGGTTTCTTGCTCAAATCTTCCCATTTGGAATCATAATTCTTAAAGGCAAGTGTTCTAATCCCATCCTACAGAAATATTAGTTTCTGTTCTCATATTGATTCTGAATAATCTGAAAGATTTCTGCTTAGAACCTGATCTTTCTCTTGTTAGACACAAAACCATGGATCTGGAATTTTTTCGTAAACTGACCCTTGTAGATTGTTTCAGCCATAATTTTTAGCACCAAATGTGGATTTAGGCAGGACCTTGTTCGTTTGAAACTAGACTCTTATACCTTTCTTTTGACACTGATATTGAAAATTTTGGACACCAAATACTTACCCAAACTTCTATTTCAAATGAGCCTATGGATGCTGCAAAACAGGGATCGAAATTTCTGACCTTTCGATACTAAAATGCATATAAGTCCCTGTTGGAAATTTTGATTTGTACCAAACTGACTTCATTTGAAACTAGACTTGTAGACCTTTCTTTTGATATATAGATTAAAAAATTTGGAATTCAAATGCCTATCCTACTATCTGTTGAAACCGACCCTATAAGTTCTGCAAAACAGTGATTTTGTTTTTGACCTTTGGTTACTAAATCAATGGTAACTCCTTGTTGGAAACCTTGATTCGTACAAAACTTGTTTCATCAGAAACTAGATTGAAATATCTTTCCAATGATATATTTTCTAAGTAAATTGGAGCACGATTAATGATTTAAATCATTTGTTCAATGTGCCTCTCGAATTCTATCAAAAATCGAGCTTTGGTCGATTTCGCATAATCTATTTTCATTCGTTTTGAAATAGATTTCATTCAGTTCCCTTCACTCAATTGAGACTTATATTAATGCTTGAATTCTGATTTGCTCTTGTCTATAAATTATTTACATTCTTGAAACATATTGTGTAACGTTTATGCTATATCACATTGACTCATATAGGCACATGTATATCCCATTGTTCCGCATTTGCTTTCGATATGTTCCTATTCCAGTTTCATTCCTTTGGATATCAAATTCATCTAACCTTCTTATTTGAATTGAGTTATATGTGATTATTTGAAATCCGTGTATGCTCTTGCTTTTAGTTCCTTTCAAATCTAAATACAATTATGAAAGATTATTGCTTACTTTGTATTGACTCGTAAAGGCACATGTACGTTTTGTTGTTCCGCGTGTGCTTCCGATATATGTTATTTATTGTTCGTACTGCCCTTTGTACTCTGGTGTTGTGGGATAATATGAACCTTTGCCAGAAATGGTAAAGAGAGTTATGCATAGAGCCTGCGATGGATGGAGCTCCCAGACGTGAGAGACTTTTGTCTGGTGGTCATTCAGAAATGGATGAATCACATTCTGTCTATGGTCCCACTACACCTTCTGTATGTTTGATATGATATCTAGAGCTTTGGTTATGTATTTCTATACATGGTTTGGATAAGAATGATATGAATGCAACATCAAATTCGACGAGCTTCTGTTTCATATTTGTTCCTTGATATGCTCCGAAATGGTTCATATACCATTGATATGCTTTGAAATGTTTCAAATACCATTGATATATTCTGAAATATTTCATTTGCTATTGTTATACTTCAAAATGTTCCATATGTTATTGATATGCTCCGAAATGTTTCATCAGTTATTGTTACACTTCGAAATGTTCCATATGTCATTGATGTGCTCCGAAACATTTCATACGCTATGGATATACATCAATTACTCTATGCTCCATCTGTTATGAACCAAATATATTTGATTGAAATGACATTTGTGATTCTGCACCTAATGAGATTACGTCTATGAATTCTTTATATTCCGCCTTTTAAAACCTTATTTGTTTGAAAATTATCCTCTTTTTCCATGGATATGTTAATCACTTGCTGAGTTTTATATACTCACTCTGTTGCTATATAAATTTTTTAGGATAGCTTGTCGCTTGCTTAAATGTTAAAATTAGGCTGAGGCAATGGAAAGTTAGAAGATTTTGGGCAGATCTTTATTAGTATATATGTTTTTGTTGTATAAGCATATTTTGTATATAATGAAATGTTATCGATGAATCAAAATAGATATACCGTGTAAAAATGTTAGAAGATCTCTCTTATTTGGAATTTCGAAATGTTAAGTCTAGTTTACGATGATATGAAATTGTGGTAAATGGTTGGAGTTCTGATTGTATAAATTACTTAGCTTATGAATTTATAAATGTTGTTCATGTTTGTTAAATTGGCTTCGGTTGCCATAAATGTGAATTATCGAGTGATGTGATAGATAATTATAAACCGCATAGGTTTTATAGATGTGAATTTGATATAATGTTTTTCAGTGTACTCAAATGTTAGTTAGGATCCTGGATTGGTTTGTGATGAAAATTTTAATATTATCGATATTTTGAGGGGCATGACAGATTTGAGGGTGATAAGTAGTAATAGACTTAACTTTAATGCCTATAGATTCTTGTAATCTTCTCCATAATCTAAAAAAAAATCTGAAATCTCTATCGAAAATGATTTCCTTTAGAACACAATAAAATTTTATTATTTCATCAATATATATGTTTGCCTAAATAAATAATATCTCTAAATCTTTAGAGTAAACATAATTACTAAAACCAAATCATGAGTTAGATAAAGATATCTTTTTCTAAATTCACGTGGCCTAAGAAGGCAACTTCATTCAACCAAAATTCACATTTGTTGAATTTTGTAGACAACTTTTTCTCTTAACATTGAAAATTATTCTTTATACTCCTGGTTACTCCTTGAATACACTAATATATCATCAATGAATACAATTACACAGTCATCCAAGAGTGACTAAAATATTCTATTCATTAGATCTATAAAAGCTACAATCATCCAAGAGTAACTAAAATATTCTATTTATTAGATCATAAAACATTAGTCAAGTCAAAAGTCATTACTAAGAATTCTACGTTCATGGCAAGCTTTACACACTCAAAATTCCACATGCCTCAAGGAAATAGTTATTATATATAAATTTCTCAATTTTCATTTTGCTTCATATGGATTTTCTAACGCTACTTCAGTATTACATTTAACTAGTACTACCATGGTTTTTGAGAGAGAATTTTTAGTGTTCATGCAATCCCAATCCCAAATTGACTAAGGAAAGAATTTCTCTCTAACATTGTCACTCTGGTATTTATTTATCAACAAAACATTCACAATGTTAGGAGCTTATATCGTTGTACCATTTTTAGAGGAACATTCATCACATTTAGTGATGTTATGTAAACTTTATAATGATCTTGTACACTAGTTTCTTTAAATCTACAATTTTTTTATGATGAAAATGAAGGCAAACGACAGATGAAACATAGTAAAATCAAAAGAAAAAACCTTGGGTAACAAACAGCAAAAAAAAGGCCATAATAGAGAAACAATAAAAGTTGCATAAGTCTACAACAAACAGTACCAATTAACACCACTGCGTACTTCACTATCAACTTGTAATAATCAGCATCTACGACCTACACGTTCATGGAGAAAAGATAACATCTAGATAATTTTGGCTCTATCTCGTTACGTGAATATATAATCTTAATCAGATGATCAATGACCAAGTTGAATGCATCATGCTTGATTCCCTAAAAAGGCTAAACACCAAGAAAGAATAGAGATATCCAAGATTTAGCAACATGAGAAGTCAAATTGATAAACGATCCTATGGACACAAATGACCGAGCTTGACGAGAACAGCATACTCTCGGCAAATAATGCATTCATTTCATACCACCAAAAATTGAAGCATCCAAATCACTCAACAATGCTCCGAGAAACACTAGTAGCCGTACGATTAATTCAACATCCACCCTCAAGATAGGGGTCAAAAGAAAGATCCTGCCGTAGCCATTTGCTCAGGATAAAACGGTAAGGAAGAACATAACAGAACCCGTGGAACGAAGAATGATGATGATGATGATGATGAATATGTTGATCGGAAAAAGAACGATATAGTGGAATAGAAGTACAATCTTACAAACAAAAAGCAATCGGATCCAAGAACAAAACGTCGTACATCAAACACAAGACTAAACAATCCACAAGAACTTACAGCTTCTGGTCGTCATCGATCTCCAGCTTCTTCTGGCACCCAGTGGTCGGATTCGCAATATTGAACTGCAAAATATCACACAAAGGCCACACGGATGACCTCAAGGCAGGAATCAAAGGAATCGAGGAAGATATCTAAGAGGAGTTAGGAGAGGTACCTTCATCTTGGGTCAAAGATTATCTTGCCTCGGCAAAGCAGAGAGCGAGAGGAGAGCGCGAAAGATGCTTTCACGAGGCGACTCCGGCGCTAGGGTTTGGCGTCGCGGACTTCAAGTGGGGCTTATAGAGATGAGGTCGGGCATACGAAGCTGGAGCCGCTGGATCTTGGCCGTTCATCGAGTGGGTCTGATTGGGTGATCTCCACCATTTGAGCCGTTTGATAACCGGCCAGCCCAACCATCCTCGTTTGATTTGTAGTAGCCTACTTCGATTGACAATAATAACAACCAAAAACAATATGAGTAACAACAAAAACAGTAACAGGTGTCAGATTCTGCACGCTAAGTATACGATACGCATCCATTGGATTGCGGATAGAGTCGGCAAGGCCCGTTTCAATGCTCGGTAGCTCCATCGATCCCTGTGACGCCCGAGAAGGAACGCTTCTATAACCTTAATCTCAATGTCGATCACACCATTCTCCGTACCTTACTGCTTTGCACCCGCGTTCGGATTCTCATAACCTTTTTCTACAAGATCGATAAAGAAGGCTTGTCGACATTAACTATCAATTCTTCTTCGATAGTTAATGTCTTTTGGCCCTCACCGGTGAGTTTTTGGGTCTTTGGGGTTTAGATGAGTGAATCTTTTATCGTGAAAAGAAGAAGGTCCATATCAGAAAGGAAAAAAACAAAAGAAGATAGCTTCCTCTTTTGGAGTCGACATGAGCGTTTTATATGAAAGTGATTTTACTTGGAACATCAGAAAACACATTATCTGCATAGATCATGCAATGTTAGCATATATCTTCTCATAACATGTGTTATAGTAAGTAACTTTTTAAGCCGTGGCCTCGGGGCCGTCGCGGCTCGGTTCGGGGGTCCGGATGTCGGGGATCTCGGGCGGCGTCCCTCGGGGCCTCCCAGCGGCCGAGCTCGGTGGTTCGGGTCGGGAGGTCGGTTCGGCAAGTTGGGTCGGCGGTTCGGGTCGGTGGTTCGGGTCGACGGTTCGGGTCGGGAGGTAGCTCCGCCGCAGCTTCAGGAAGAGGCGACACCGTCTCGCACCTGCACACAGGTCGGGCCGGGAGCTCGGCCCGACCCCTCCGACGATCAAATTAGAGAAAGATGTGGAGGGGATTGTGGATGAGGCAGAAGAAGAGCCTCTGAGTGTTTTGTGTCTGAGTGAGTTCCTCCCCCCTTTTCTCTTTAGAGTTTGGGGGTATTTATAGATGAAGTTTGATATTACCTGATGTGGTTGTCTGCAGGGTAGGACTGTACCTTTGGTGGCGTCTG